GGGCCTTAGAACAGATGATGTCAGAGCTGGGAGGGGCCTTAGAACAGGGGATGTCAGAGTTGGGAGGGGCCCTAGGACAGGGGATGGCAGAGCTGGGAGGGGCCCTAGGACAAGGGATGGCAGAGCTGAGAGGGCCCTTGGAACAGGGGATGTCATAGTAAAGTGGGAAGCTGCCCAGCTCTGTAGCCACATGACCTGGGCCTGAATCCCAGCTCTGCCTCTTCCTCCGTGTGACCCAGTGATCATGGGCAAGACCCTTCCCTCTGTGTGACTCCATTTTCTCAACATTAAAAAAGAACATTGGCTAAGTCCAGTTCCAGGGCCCTTCACAAGGACAACGGAGGTCGTCCATTGCTATCAGCTCGGTAAGACGCTTCCCACCCGTTTTCTTCCTTGAGCCTCAGAACCACCCCAAAGGTAAGAACAACAGAATCAGGCCGAGGTTCAGAGGTCTGCCCAGGCTCACACAGCTGCCAAGGGTCCGAGGCAGGATTTGAACCCAAGTCTCTCGGGCTCCAGGCTCAGCCTCCTGCTCCTTTTTCAGAACAGGGAGGGGCCCTCAGGCTGGAGAAGCCTGGAGCTGGGGGGGAGCCTAGCAATCACCATGTCCAAAGCTCTCACTTTGGCCCAGAGAGGGGGATCGACCTGCCCAGAGCCACACAGCTCATGAGTGGCAGAGGGGCAGGGGCTCAGAACAGGACCCTTTGGAGTCCAAGACTCTTCACTGAACCAGGATGCCTTCCACTCTCCTCCCTCATCACCTCCCTCCAGACTCCGATGCCAGGGAAGGCCAGCACTCACTTCTAGGGCAGAGCTGCCCAGCCCTCCCAGCTCCAGAGCACCCACCCATCCCACGTGGCTGGCGGCTCCCACCCACACAGGGAAAGAGTGCCACCTCCCATGGGTCGGCTTCTTCGTCTTTCTCTCCAATCCCGACGGGAGGACTGGAGCCCCTGACTCAGTCTAAGCCTTATTATGTTCGTTATGCTCTCTGCTCCTCCATGGGCCCGATCACCTGGGGAGCTCCTCCCCATCCTGTGCACCCCCCACTGCGGCTCCCAGGGCTGCCGAGAGTCAGCCCCACTTACAGGACTGAGGCACCCTAGAAAGGCCTCTCCCTGCCAGGCATGGGGAGTCACCCAACCCCATGCTGCCAGCTGTGTCTCCATCCAATCACGCCCTTGAGCACTCTCTTGAAGGAGTGATGGGGGGAGGGGGAGTATACCCCCCACTCTGGCCTCCTGGCTGGGGGCCCCATCTGGCAGGTACAGTAGGGACTTTGCCCTCCCTGCTCAGGCTGGCCTGTCAGGGTCACCTATGGAGGTCAATTTTGTCCTCATGGTCTCCTTAGGGCTCAGCACCCCCTCTCCCCCATCCATGCGAGGATTCCCAGGTGAGCAGAGGTCATGACTACCAGGTGTCAGACTCAGGCTGAGTCAGGGGCTCCAGGTCCTCCTGTGTGGAGGACCAGATGCGTGGTAGGTGTGTGTGGGAGCTGCCAGCCACATGGGATGGGGAATGGGGGTGTGTGGGGGGCTGAGCAGGGTTTGTCCTCTGCCCTAAAAATGGGTGCTGGCCTCCCCTAGTGGCAGAGCCTGGAGGGAGGTGAGGGAGGCCCAGAAACCTGCATCATAGTTCAGTCACTCACCCCCTCACCTGCCCACAGGGTCCCCCCCATCACTGGGTCACTTTTACTACACAGTCTGTTCATCCGACCTCGGTCATATTCTTTACCCCCATCCCCTCCTGACCATCTAAGCCATGCTGGCCCGTGAGACCCTCGGGGGGGGGCCCTTCCCCAACTGCTGAGGAGCCCTCTCTGTTCAGGCAGGAGCCATGGGCCTTCAGAGGCTGCCAGGCAGTCAGGAAGCACTTATGAAGTGCCTACTATGTGCTCAGCACCGGGCCAAGCACTGAGAAAGTCTCAGGCGCCCCTTCCTCCTGTCTCCCCACAGGTCCAATGGGCACCCCTCCTTCTTCATCAATCTGGGGTCCCCTGCACCCCCATTCTGTTTAGGCAGCTCCCTCCCGGGAAGGATGACTGCTCTGAATTCCAATCTCCCTTCTGTCCCACTGGACCTGGCCCTGCAATCCTTGTCCCTCCGGACCTTTGGGGCCTTCCTGCCCTTGTCTTCCTGATCACCTGAGTGGCCCTTCCTGTCGAATCCTGGGATAAGGGGCTGTCCTTCCCCCAGGACCGCCTATGGACCCCGTCCTGGACATCCCCTAGACCCGTCTATGCGGTACAGTCCATCATCACCTTTGGACCTGTCTATGCGGTCCTTCCCCCAGGGTCCATCTACACAGTCGGGCCATTCCTCAGAGCACGTCTACTCGTTCCTGCTATACTCCAGGGCCCGTCTACACAGTCCTGTGCCTCCCCCAGGGCTCGTCTACGAGGCCCCAGGGCCCGTCTACACAGTCCTGTGCCTCCCCCGAGGGCCGGTCTACACGATGCTGAACCTCCCCCAGGGCCGGTCTATACGGTCCTGTGCTTCCCCCAGGGCCCGTCTACGCGGTCCTCCCGCTCCGGCCGCCCGCACACTCACCTGGGCTCAGCGGCCCGCGCAGCCCCGCGCAGCCCCGCGCGCCCAGGCCCATGCACCGGGTCCGTCCGCTCCGCGCGCCCCGCTCAGTCGCTATGGCCGGACTCGGATCGCCCGCCCGCTGCCCGCTGCCCTCCGCCCTCTGTCCGCTCCGCCACCGTCTCCCGGGGACACTGGCCAGCCCGCCCCGCCCGTCCTGAGTCCGGCTCCGCAGGCCCCGCCCCGCCCCGCCCCTCGGCCTCCTCTGCCGCCAATCCACCGCCGCGCCCCGCCCACCCCGGGCGTTTCCCTCCCGCGGTTGGATCGATTTAATTTTAGGTCACGCCCCTTCACTGCAGCTCCTCCCTCCGAGACGGGGCCCCGCCGACTTGGCGCACAGCCTCCTGGGGGTTGTAGTCCTCTGTTCTTCTCTCCTTCTGCCATCCCCCTTTCCCCTCCGCGAGTCTGCCAGCGCGGACTTGCCGGGGCCCTCCCCACTGCCGGGCCCGAGAAACAACCGCGCGCGGAGGGAGGCTGGCCGAGGTGGCTCTGAGGCGGGCGGCTGAGCTCGCTCTCCCCTCCCTCTGTCTCTCTCTTTGTCTCCCCTTTGTTCCCAGCTGAGTTCCCCCACCTCTGACTCCGCCCTCTTCCCCTCCGCGGAGGAGCCTGCCAGAGTCCCTGGACGGGGCCGGCTGGGGGGCTGGCTGGAAGGGGCAGAGAAAGCCGGGTCTGGGGGCGACGCGAGCAGTGCTCCGTATTCCAGGAGCGAAGCTCCGAGCGCGCGAGCAAGGCTGGCCTCTTAGCGTGGATTGCAACACGCATCGATTAAGCGCTAACCTCTGCTTCTGCCATTAAAGGTCATCGGCCCAACCCCTTGGTACTGGGGACAGCATCGAGGCCCAAAGAGGGCTGGGGGCTTGCCGATGGGCTCACGACTTGTAAACTGCAGGCTTTGAGCCCAGGGTCCTTAAGGATGGGGTGTGCCAGGGGCAATGAGGAGACTGTCCTTCTTCCAGCAGGGCAGGGATGAACCTCTTTCAATGTCCCTTCTCAAATACTGAAAAATCTGTTTATTTGAAGGCACCCCGTTATGGCTACAGTAGGCATCTGAATATTTACTGGGCTGATGAAGGCAGATACCCCGGGGTAAACTAGAATGGAATGAACTGGCAGGTGATACATCGATGGGTGTAACCAGGGTCCCATCCTCTCCCGGCGCTCCCCAGAGCCTCACTGTCAGGGCCTGGCCCGGCAGCCCCCCGGAGCTGGGGGTCTCACCAAGACACCAGCCAAGAGTCCCAGGGGTCTGGGGGAGCGGAGGCCGTTTTGGCTGTGTGTGGCTGAAGATTCAGTGGATTCCCAGGCGGCCAAGCCCAGCCAAGGGCCCCAGAAAGAGGGAGGGGCCGGGAAGACAGAGGGATGCTGCCTGTCACAGATCTCTAACGCATTATCCCCCAAAGGCCTGGCCTGGCCAACCCAGGGGCCCATGGCCCCCCAGCCTGGCCCGAAGTGGCAGCCTCTGGACCTCCTGCCAGCACTCTGAGGATGTGTCAGCCCCTCGGGATGCAGATAACGGGCCAACACACGCAGGGCCCAGCTGGGGAGAAATGTGCAGTAATTAAGATTCAGTCACATGGAACTCAGTTGGGGCACAGGGTGGGATGGGAGCGGCTTCCCCGCCTGGTGTGAGGGAAGGATGACTGAACTTGGTCTCTCAGGAAAGGTCTGAGGCCGAGCTCCCCCTCCTATGAGCCAAGTGACCCTGGGCCACCCGGCCTTGGTGTCCTCATCTGCAAAGTGGGGTGATAATAGTAGCACCCAGGGTTACTGTGAGGATCAAATGAGGTGATCTTTGTGAAGAGCTCAGCAAAGTGCCTGGCACATAGTAGGTGCTTCATAAATGCTTTTTTTCCCTCTTGTCCTCCCAAGGCCTCCCTCCTTCCTTCCTTCTTTCCTATGAAGATTGTGAGAAAACAAATCAAATGATAACATTACTAGCTGTCATGATGATGGTGTGACTAGTCTGAGCTTTAGTATTCTTGTCTGTATAATGGGGACAATAATTATTGCCTCTCTGAGACCCAGAGGCTGTTTTTGCCACTTTGTGCCACTGAGATTGGATGTTTAGCTGCTCTGAGTCTCAGTTTTCTTATCTGTAAAATGAATGTTGTAAAACATAGAATGTCAGAGCTGTGTGTGTGTGTGTGCGCGCGCGCACGTGTGTGCATGCCTTCTGGGTCTTAGAATCAAAGAAGTACAAGGAACTTCAGGGTTTGCCTTCTCTGATTCTTGTCGGAAAGTTGAATCTCCCTAATCTTCTTTCGAAGACCACCAGTGACAGGGAACTCAGTACCTTGTAAGGAACCCCACTCCAGTACTAAACAGCTCAGTTAAATGTGAATTCTTTGAAGACAGGGACCGTTTCATTTTGGCCTTTATTCCTACACAGAGTAGATGCCTTGCACATAGTAGGTACTTTAAACATGTTTGTTGAATGAAAATCTAGAGTTAGACAATTGACTTTTTGAACCCATGTGCAGCACTTTATATTTGACTCTATTGAATTCCCTTTTTGTTCAGTTGTTTTTTAGTCGCATCTGACTCTTTGTGAACCCATTTAGGGTTCTCTTGGCAAAGATACAGGAATAGTTGGCCATTTCCTTCTCCGACTTATTTTACAGCTGAAGAAACTGAGGGAAAGAGGATTGAGTGACTTGCCTAGGGTCACCCCGATAGTAAGTGTCTGAGGCTGCATTTAAACTCAGGTCTTACAACTCCAGCCCTGTTGTTCCATCCACTGGGCTACCTGGCTGCCCAGTTTCCATTTTGGGGACAAATGTCAATAGTAATGCTTGTGTGTGTCTTTGCTGGGTATGTGTTTGAGGATGGATCCATATATACAAGTGTCTTTTTCTGTGTATATGTATATTTGTGTGCCCATGTGTAAATGTTGATGCGCCTATGTGGGCCCATGATTGTACACGGAGTTGAAGCTGAAGATAGTGAATAGGGCACTGGGCCTGAAGTCAGGAAGATCTGAGTTCAAATCCCATCTTAGATACTTTTTGGCTGTGTGACCCTGAGTGAGTCATTTCATCACTGTGTGCCTCAGTTTCCTCATCGGTAAAATAGGGATAATAATGGCACCTACCTCCCAGAGCTATTGTCAGGATCAAATAAGGTAATATTTGTATAGTGTTTAATATAGTGACTGGCACATAGTAGGTTCTTAATAAAGGCTTGTTCCCTTCCTATCAGTAACATTAAGAAAACAACAGGGAATTGGATAGATGACCCCCAAAGGTCCTTCTAGGTCTAAACCCAGGGCTCTGCATCTCTCAGGGCTGCAGTGAGGGTGAGGAGGGTTGCAATGTGCTGGATCCATGCCTGGAGGGAAGATGTTTACTAACGCAGGCCCTGGGGTGTCAGAGGCCAAGGAAGGAGCTGGAGCTGGGGGGGATGGAGGGGATGGATGAGAGGGGCAAATATTGGGGGGCGAAGAGGGCAAACACTGGGCCACACCCACCCCTTCTAGTGAGGGAGGGGAAGGCTGGGGGAGGGGGGAGATGGATGGATGGGATTTAGCCACTCGGCCAATTACAATATTTTGCTCAAACCCAAACATTTGAAAATAAATATTTTAAAAATCCAGCCTGAGCCAGATCCGTGAGTCACAGCCACCACCCACTGGGGCAGAACACCTTGGGTACAGAGTTGGGAGGGGGGACGGAGAAGGGGAGAGAACTGCCCTGTTCTCCTCCCCAGGCCCCAGCACCCGGGAGAGCTCAGAGCACTGGGTGAATTCAAAACCAAGGCCATACAGACCAGACCCTGGCAAGAGGCTGACAAGAACCCTGGAGTCTGGAACAGGAAAACAGGGTTCTAAGCCCCATTCTGCCAGTGGCTGGTTACTTGACTTGGAGTGACTCACTTCCAGTTCTGGGCCTTCATTTCCTTCTACAAAACGGTTATTATGTGTGGGGGAAAATAGATGGCCTAAGGTTCTTTCTGCCCTCCCAGCTCTGCCATCCCCTGTTCTAAGGCCCCTCCCAGCTGTGACATTCCTTGTTCTGAGGCCCCTCCCAGCTCTGTCATCCCCTGTTCTAAGGCCCCTCCCAGCTGTGACATTCCTTGTTCCAAGGCCCCTCCCAGCTCTGCCATCCCCTGTTCCGAGGCCCCTCCCAGCTGTGACGTTCCTTGTTCCAAGGCCCCTTCTAACTCTGATACTTCCTGTTCTGAGGGTCAGAGATGGGCTGATCCAAAGAGTGTCATCTGGCAGAGCCCAGGAAGTCTGGAACCACCTGAAAACTAAGAACTCAGGTGCTTTGGGAAGCCCCTCCCAACCTCCCCGCCCAATTACACCTCAGCCCATTCGTGAGCTCACCCATCCTGCTGCTGTTCAGAGCAGGGCCTGTCTCAGGCAGCGCCCTGGCCTGGTGATGCAAGCCACCATCCTCCCCAGGCCTCCTCATCTCCAGAGCAAACCCAGTGTCCTGGATGGAGCTTGGGGTGTGTGGCAGGAACCAGAAAAACCTGTTCTTGCTGGGAACCCAGCAATGAAAGCCTGGAGCAGGGGAAGCAGCCTTCCCAGAATCTCGCCAACCCTTTTCCAGAATGAGCACTCACCTGGATTGGGTTGGGGGTGGGGTGCAACGATGTTGCCCTCTGCCAGGCATCACAGGGCATCTGGGTTGGCAGAGGTGGAAGCGTCTGAAGTCCTGGCCACTTCCTGGAGGAGGGAGCCCCTGTTCTGCTCTAGTCTAATCTAATCAGCATTTATTAAGTTCCTACTGTTTGTCAAGCTTTGTTCTCAAAGCTAAGGTCACAAAGATGATAGAGTTCCTGCCTTCAAAGAGCTCATGTTCTACCAGGGATGGGAGCGAAGGGAACAGTGACAGGTACAGTAGGGGCAAAAGAGAGACACAGGCAGAGCCCTGGAGGAAAACCGGAAAAGAATCCCAGTTGTTGTTTTTTGTTTTGGCTAGGCAATAGGGTTAAATGACTTCCTCAGGGTCACACAGCTAGTAATTGTCAAGTGTCTGAGGCTAGATTTGAACTCAGGTCCTCCTGACTCCAGGGC